CTATCGTGCATTCTGCATAGTAAAATCACTGGACCAGCACCGACCCCATATTTTCTTCACCATTCATAGCTCCGCAGTTTTCCTCTATCTAATGTGGTTCATTCGACTAAAACTTTCTTACTGCTGTTTCCTTGCCTAATTGTTCATTTATCACATGTGTCATGGTCATTTGCTAACAGGAGTTGTCTGACTGAAACTTGGACGTACAGAGCAAGTTAATGGCTGATGTTGACAGATTTCAGTGATTTGCCAGGTAGGCTTTATATTTCGTTCATTTTCACTTTTTTTTGTGAATTTTTTTCGGCCTTTGCCTACTAAATCTTTTATTTGTTGGTTTGTTTTTCCTTTTTATAGCTTGAACTCAGAAACAACGTTGATCGTGATATGATTTTGCCAAATCAATGTGGGTAGTTTCCTTCTCTAGCTGTATTTTATCTTGCTTTTATGACGTTGCTTGCGGTGGAAATTGCAAATTTTAAGTCCGAAAGCTACATATATGTGATTTGTCTCTTTTGTACTTTGTTCTTTTGTGGTGCTTGTGTCTAATGGCTGATGTTGGCTTTGTTGTTCGTTTATTCCTTCTTATGCTGGTAAAAGTTGATTTCTGAATTCCAGTTTTTTTCAGTAATTGTTGTCGTCCCATTTTATTAGCTGTTACTTGAAAAACAAGCTCTTCAAAAAATACGACTGCTAACAGCAGTACATTAATGACATTCTCTCTACTCTACTACAAAATTGACATCTAACTTCACTACTGCTGTATCACCACGACACTTTACATACAAAACTATCTAAATTGGATCAAGCCTCAAGTTTATAGAGTAAGCAAGGTAGCTTTCTGATGTCCATGTTGTTGGCAGAGGAACTTTGTTTAATAAATTTATGTAATGTGGTTGATGGATGGGGTAATGTCATCTCTTGCTTTGGTTGCTTATAAGAGCTTTTTTGGTTGACATTTGGGTTGTGTATTGTGATGAGTAGTTGAATGCGTATCATTTTGGTGTGATGGCATTCTATTGTTGAGTTTATATATATATTGTATGCCTTTCTATGGATAGTTGGTGATTAAAATAGATAATCGGGCAAGATAATTTTCTGTGAATTTGAAAGCCATCATTATAAGTGCATATGTGGTGGTGTCTACGGTACAACTGCACAAGTCAGTTGGTTTGGAAGAATGGTTTCTCTACACTCTTCATGTTTCTTATGGAGAACCTTGATATTGTGTATTAACTATTAACTACTGGCTTCGTAAAAAAAAAAAACTATTAACTATTGGCTTTTGGTCCAACTTTGAGTATGCTTGAGACAGTATTGAATAATCTCATTCAATTGTTCGCTACTACAAGCTATAGTTACATGTTTCCGCCATCAATGTTAATATCATGCTCAGTTTGGACATCAAAATTCTCAATTGAATTTTCAGGGTTTGGCTTCGGATAAGATTGATCGGGAACACGCAGATAGTTGATTAACTTTGCGTTGGATGAAAGCTGAATGAACTGGTGGCAATAAGAAGTGTGCAACTTGATTTATTGTTTAAAGAAAGAGACCAAATTGTTTGTCGATGGAAAGAAAAGGGCCTATAGAAGAAGTTTGGCAATAACAGGTCAATGTGTAACGCAAGGGGATCTTTATGTTTTAGCCTTCATATCAATGTCCCTTTTATGGGTTTCTTCCCTCCATGCATGCACAATTCAGTAGTGCAGCGAGCTTGCAAGACCCAACAAAAATCTCTAGAAAAACTGACTTCATGAGAAGAAGCTTCTACTGGGTTTAGATGAAGTAATCGCTTTTTGTTAATTTATCAACAACAAAGTTTAAATGTTTCAATTTTTGTACTGGTCTTTGAGTTTCAAGCTTCTGTTTGGAATGATGGGATTTTGGAAGTTCATCAAGTTGTTGCTATTTTAATTACCAGCTTTCTAAAGTTGTGAATTTTTTCGTAAAATTTAGTTTTCACAATAGTGATTGTATATGTATGTTTGGGCTATGAAGTGTTTTATTAAAACCAAAAGTTAAGAGAAATACTTATAAGATTATAGATTTTGGTCATTATACTAGCCTTCAACTATAGTCATAAGTCAACACCAGCTATTAGCAACCAAGAGGTAAATATTTGGTATCAATGAATCAACATTTAATAATTGATGCTTTATTAATACTTATCTTTTTAGTTTATTGTTGAACATAAAATTGATCTCAGTATGTGGTGAAGTTATCTTTCCATATTACAAGTAGGCTAACCCATGGAGTTCCAAATTACTACTTCAATGCATATTGTCTGACTTTCATTTGGAGGTAACAAAATCAAGTTAATAGTACAAATATTATGAATAATTACCTCTTGAATCATTTATGTAACAAAAAAAGTTAAAATATCTTCTGAAATGTGAGTGGGTGGGTGGATATAGGAAACAGTAAGAGAGAACAAAAAATATAGTTAGTAACATAAATGTTACTTTCCAACATAGTCAGTAAAATATGGGGTTAATTGCAAGGATGGTCACTGGTTTTACTAAAACCGTTCATGTTTGGTCACTGCAAATATTTAATTCCATTCATGGTCACTAAGATTAGTTCAATAGTTCAAGTTTGGTCACTCTCCGTTAGTCTCCGTTAGTTTTTGCTGATGTGGCAGTCAACTATTATAGTTGACCGTTAAATGAGTGACGTGGCCATTAAAAAAATAATAAAATAATAAAATATAAATATTTACAATTTCCACCTCATTTTACAACTATTAAAAAATAAAAATAAAAATTACCTTCACAGCGCCGCCGCTTCCCGCCGGCCTAACGAGAATGTCCGCAACCAAATCACCGCCATGGACCCCGGCCCAACCACGAGCTCGAGGACCTGGAATTCGCGCCTCGCCGTGCAAAATTATTACGGCGCCTCTTCCTTTCAATCTCCTCCCCCTCGATTCGCACCTCCTAGGGTTCCTATATCTTCGCCCCAGCTAAGCACAATCAAATTCGGTGCTCAAGAAGAGTCTCGGCGCCGTCGAGTGTGATTGATTTCCGGGGGGATTTCAGCTCGGCGTTATTGGGGAGTTCGTACAGCGGAAGCTCTGTGGTTCAACGGAGGCGATTCCTCGGATGCGGAGATGGGGAAGAAGGCGGTGTTTTGTCCAAGGTTTACGAAGAGCTTAATTAACCTTAATTATTCCTCAACAATCCCCCCAAATTAAGATTAACAGAGGAAAGACTGTGAATATGGTTTCTTTCTTTCTTTTAATTCACCGGGTAGGAAAAACTGTGAATATGGTTTCTTTCTTTCTTTTAAGTAGTATACTGGTTCTTGCCCGGCCTCTCGATTGCTCTTCCCTCTCCGAAACCACTGAACGGACGCCGGCGGGAGACGATGGCGACAGAGAACCTGGAAGCCGACAAACGACGCCCGATTTACCCTCTCTCTCATCTCCCTGAACCCACTGAATGGCATGTCGGCGAGAGGAGGTGGTGACTACAGATCAACCATCTCCCAACCCACCGAACGGACGCCGACGAATGTCCCCCAATTTCACCTCCCTGACCGTTGAACAACACGCCGGCGGGAGACTGGCAAAGGCTGATGTCCCCGGGAAATCGCGGGTTTTGATTTCCCCCCTCTCCCACGAACTTCTCAATGACATGTCTTTCCTCTGTTAATCTTAATTTGGGGGGATTGTTGAGGAATAATTAAGGTTAATTAAGCTCTTCGTAAACCTTGGACAAAACACCGCCTTCTTCCCCATCTCCGCATCCGAGGAATCGCCTCCGTTGAACCACAGAGCTTCCGCTGTACGAACTCCCCAATAACGCCGAGCTGAAATCCCCCCGGAAATCAATCACACTCGACGGCGCCGAGACTCTTCTTGAGCACCGAATTTGATTGTGCTTAGCTGGGGCGAAGATATAGGAACCCTAGGAGGTGCGAATCGAGGGGGAGGAGATTGAAAGGAAGAGGCGCCGTAATAATTTTGCACGGCGAGGCGCGAATTCCAGGTCCTCGAGCTCGTGGTTGGGCCGGGGTCCATGGCGGTGATTTGGTTGCGGACATTCTCGTTAGGCCGGCGGGAAGCGGCGGCGCTGTGAAGGTAATTTTTATTTTTATTTTTTAATAGTTGTAAAATGAGGTGGAAATTGTAAATATTTATATTTTATTATTTTATTATTTTTTTAATGGCCACGTCACTCATTTAACGGTCAACTATAATAGTTGACTGCCACATCAGCAAAAACTAACGGAGACTAACGGAGAGTGACCAAACTTGAACTATTGAACTAATCTTAGTGACCATGAATGGAATTAAATATTTGCAGTGACCAAACATGAACGGTTTTAGTAAACCCAGTGACCATCCTTGCAATTAACCCGTAAAATATGGGAACGGTTATGTATTTTATACGTATGGGTATTTTACTTCGTCTCAAACTAATGTTACGTTTAATAATATGTTAATAGTCATAAATATATGAAATTAATTATTTTATAAATATAAATAATAGTAAAGTTAACCCTTTATTTCATTAAATTCATTAAATACGGGTATTAAACGGGTTATATGGGTTTTATACGTGTTTAGTATGGAAGCCATCAAATGAACAATAAAAAATGAAACGGCTTGACAATAATATGGATACGGAAGTTTTAAACGGATAAAATATGTATGGGTACATATATGATATACGTGTATTAAACAGAATATTTACTAACTATGCTTTCCAATCATGCAAGAAGTATATAAAAGAATCACAAATCATTTAAAATATACACAAATTGATAACACAAAAAATAAAAATAAAAATTCATCCGACCAACGGGTCGGATAAAAGCTAGTACTAAGTAAGAAAGGTTTTACTTTTACCACACTCTTCTCGTACCCCCGAAAACCGCCAGTTAAAAATAAAGTAATGAAATGAACAAAATCGAATGCAATTCATCTGTGGTAAAGGACACATCTGAGATTGATATTTGAACAATTACAAAGATAAGCTTTCTCTCTGTTTTCTCTCATGAGCTCCGATCAGCTTGCTCCGGCGACGACTTTCAATCCCTCCGATCGGCCGCCTGATGAAGCCCCCTCTTTCGCGACCACCTCCCAGAGTCCCCCCATGGCAAACCCTGTTGGTGATAGCATGGCTGTTGACAGCCCTATCGCAGGAACATCTGTGCCGGCAACGGCAGGCATCGCTCCTATTTCTTACGCCGGGGCGGTGCTGGGTGAGAGATCAAATCGCGTTCAGGAAATGACCTCATGGACGCCGATTGGGGAACACGATCTGGTCCCTAGCACGTTTAATGGGGAGCCGGAACTGAAAGTCTCAGACGGGCTGATAACCAAACTGAGTGCTCCGTGGAAACGCTCTCTGGTGGTTCGTACCCTGGGTATTCAAATCTCTTTCACCACCTTCAGCAACAAGATCAAGACGCAATGGCGACCGACAGGAGCCCTGGATATTCTGGTGCTTGGTCCAGAATACTATCTGGTTAAGCTCAGCAACGATACGGATTACTTTAGAGCTCTGACGGAAGGCCCTTGGACCATCTTCGATCACTATCTTATCGTCCAGCAATGGACGCCGTCCTTTCGGCTGAACAACAAGCTCCCGAACTCGATGATAGTCTGGGTCCAGCTCCCGGCCTTTCCAGTTCATTTTTACCACCGGGAGGTCCTCTTCTCGCTGGGAAACATGATTGGTCGTACAATTAAGCTGGATTACCATACCCTCCATCAACAAAGGGCAAGGTTTGCGAGGATAGCTGTGGAAATCGACCTCTCTAAACCCCTGGTTACGCGCATTCGGCTCGACGGGCAATGGCAGTATCTTGAGTATGAGAACCTTCCGGTGGTGTGCTTTGAATGTGGGAAAATAGGTCACACCGAGAGCTCCTGCCCAAATCTGATGGCCCCCTCACCGCCGCTCGCTTTGGTTGAATTCGGAAGTCGGCCGGATTCTGCCCCGGCGACCCAACCGGAGGAAAAGGTCGGATACGGACCCTGGTTGCAAGTCACTCGTAGATCACGGCGAGGAAATCGGAACACAGAAAAAGGAAACTCTGGATTTGGTAATGGGGAAAACGGCAATCAAGGGAAAGGGGAAAAAGGGAAGTCCATTAACAAGGAAGGGCTCGTTGGCAACGATTTGGCGCAAGGGCGACGCGTCGGCACCACCCAACGGACAGAGAACACTAATGGTGGAAATTTTGGGAAAGACAGAGGAGGATTTGGAAAAGGAAAGGGAAAGGTTAATATGGAAGCAGAGGGGGAGTCGTTAAAAAGCAAAGGAATTTTGGGCTCTAGCCCACAGACCAGTAATAGTAAGGAGGGCCCTGCTGCAAGTAAGGCCCAGGGCACTAAAAAAGCCCACGAAACTAATGGGCATAAGGCCACAAGTCTGGTGGCTACCAAAGACAGCAAGAATGGGCCCATTGCGGGCACTCTTACTCCCCCTACTTTGACAGATGTTGCAGGCCCCAGCGGAACATCCATCCAAATTGTGAATATCCCTCAGGCCATGGCGGACGAAGCACGGCGTACAGAGGACTCGCCGATCTCAGTTGGTCAACGTACGAAAAAGCAAAAGAAAAAAGTGAAATCGCCGAGGAAATCCCAGCTCCCCGTCACGCCGAAAGCGCTCCAAATATGGTCTCCAGTCAAAGAAAGGAAGAACAAGAACCGCGCAAAGCTTGCCGCCCTCACTTTGCAGGAAATTGACGCCTGGACTGGAGCTGCCAAAACTGCGTCTGATGCCGACAAGTTATCCCGGGAAACGGATGAACCAGTTGTTCCGACGGGGGAAACCACCCGCGTTGAGGCACCGAAAGCTCCTCTAGCTTGATGTCTCCCCGTCTCCCTCTTGTTTCTTCCCCCTGTTTAAATTCTCCTATGTCTAGTTTCCCAATTAGTAATTTAAAAGTTCTTTCCTGGAACGTTGGCGGCGCAGGTAACGCTGCCGCGACCAGGGCTTTCAAGTTTCTTGTTAATGCTTACAGGCCTGACTTTCTTTTTGTTTTGGAACCCCAGATTAGTGGTGATAATGCCAACAAAATCTGCGGCAGGCTGGGTTTCCCTAATGTGATGAGAGTCGAAGCTGACGGTAGAAAAGGGGGGATTTGGTTCTGCTGGGATGCTAACCTGTTTGATGTTCAGGTGGTCTCGGCCTGCTCTCAGCACCTCACGGTGAGGGTGTCGAGAAACAGCTCCTCAAGGTGGCTTCTAACTGCAATCTACGCCAGCCCTCGGCAAAGCCAGCAACGCAGCCTTTGGCAAGCCATTTACCAGACGAGCCTGTCAAATGACCTTCCTTGGCTTCTCTCCGGGGATTTCAACGCCATCAGATCGCCTGAAGAGAAGACGGGCGGGCCCTCCATGGATACCTACCGAAGGTGCAAAGTCTTTAACGACAGAATCAACCAGTGTGAACTCATAGACCTTGGGTTCTCGGGCCCTCGTTTTACCTGGAGCAGAGGAGATAACTCTAGTGCATTCAAGGCCAGCCGCATCGACAGAAGCCTCTGCAACGATCGGTGGAACATTTCCTTCCCCAACACTACTGTCACTCATCTGCCTCGGCTCCACTCGGATCACCACCCCATCCTTACAACTATTGGGAATCAGGGAGTTGCTCATAACCTTACACGCCCTTTTCGATTTGAAGCAGCCTGGTTGACTAGTGACTCTTTTGATGATGTTGTGTCAGGAGGCTGGAACGACATCGTCTCTCTCCCGGAGGCTCTTCAGCAAATGGCAGCAAACCTGAACGAGTGGAACAGATCAACCTTCGGCAGCATATTCCACAAGAAGAGAAGACTCCTGGCGCGCATCCATGGGATCCAAGAGAGAGTTGCAAACTGTTTCTCCCCAGGTCTTTTCAAGCTGCAGACCAAGCTGGAGAAAGAGCTTGATCAAATTCTTGAGCAAGAAGAGTTGTTCTGGTTTCAAAGGGCCAGAGAGCAGTGGGTGCAACAAGGGGAACGGAATACCGGTTACTTCCACCAACAGGCTAACATTAAAAGAAGGAGGAATCGAATTGACAGCCTGAAGGACTCTAACGGAGAGTGGATCTACGACCCACAGGAGCTAGCTCTAATGGTGTTTACCTTTTTTGCTTCCCTCTATACGCAGGATGATTCCGTGTATACTGACCTGATGCCGAAGAATGGTTTTCCCCGCCTCAGCCAGGAAGACTTTCTTTGGCTCTTGCGTCCTATCCAGGGAGATGACATCCACAGAGCGATCCACGAGATGAAACCGTTTCAAGCCCCCGGCCCAGATGGTTTCCACGCCGCCTTTTACCAACGGGCTTGGCAGGTGGTAGGGAAGTCCCTGATTAATATGGCTATGAGTTTCTTTGATGCAGGTGGTCTTCCGGAGAACATCACTGACTCGACGGTGGTCCTCATCCCTAAAGTGGAGCATCCGGATTTGGTGTCTCAGCTTCGCCCCATATCCTTGAACAACGTCTGCCTCAAAGCTATCACTAAGGCGATTACCAACCGCTTGAAGCCGATCATGAGGAAGCTGATTTCTCCGCGCCAAAGCAGTTTTATTCCCGGCAGGCAAACTGTCGATAATATCATTGTTTTGCAGGAAGTTCTCCATACTCTCAGGAAGAAGAAAGGCAAAAAGGGTGGGATTGTGATGAAAATTGACCTAGAAAAGGCCTACGACCGTCTCCGTTGGGATTTTCTTAGAGACACTCTTAAGGAGGTAGGTCTCCCTAGCTCATGGATAAGCTGCATCATGTTTTGTGTCGAGAATAACAAGATGCGGCTGCTCTGGAACGGAGAGCTCTCTCAACCTATCATCCCTTCACGGGGCGTTCGACAGGGAGACCCTCTCTCACCCTATCTTTTTGTCTTGTGTATGGAAAGACTCTCCCACCGTATTGATCAGGCTATTCAGGATAAATGCTGGAAACCTTTGAAGCTTTCTGCAGATAGCCCCGCTCTCTCTCACCTTTTCTTTGCAGATGACTTAGTTCTTTTCGCCGAGGCAGAGAAATCTCAAGTCAGAATTATTAAAAAGTGCTTGGATGAATTCTGCACGAGCTCGGGGCAGCGAGTGAACTTTAATAAATCTGCCATGTTCGTGTCGGCTAATGTTCCTAGAAGGCGAGCTCGGTCTTTGAGTGACAACATGGGGATCCCTCTCACTGTTGATCTGGGCAGATACCTGGGAGTGATGGCAATCCATGGCAGAGTGACGAGAGCTAGATACCAGGACCTTATTCTCAGAATCCAAAGGAAGCTGGCACCTTGGAAAGCTAAGCATCTGTCTCTTGCTGCCCGTATTACTGTTGTTAAGGCTGTCGCAGCTTCTATTCCTATTTATCCCATGCAGGTTGAACTCCTTCCCAAAGCGGTTTGCAAGACGCTCGATAAGGTCAACCGGGGTTTTATTTGGGGGGATTCCGAGGAGAAAAGAAGACTTCATTTAGTTGGGTGGCCCCAACTGCTCCAACCCAAAGACGAAGGTGGCCTGGGGATCCGCTCGGCCAGGGAAGTGAATATAGCCATGCTTGCTAAGTGCGGATGGAGGCTGATGGGTGAGAAGGAGACTTTGTGGGCTCAGCTTATGCGATCAAAGTACGGGAAGAACAGAGAGCACCTCGATCTGCTCAAACCTGTAAAGGGAAGTTCCTTTACCTGGAATAGCTTCTCCAAGACGGGGGACTTGCTTAGACAAGGATGTGCTTGGAATATTCATAGAGGTAATCTAACTCGTTTTTGGTCTGATTCGTGGATTTCGCAGGTTCCGCTTCAGGAGATGGTCACTGGCCCTATCCCGGTAGAAGATCTCCAAGCCAAAGTGGGAGACTTTGTCAACGAGGATGGAGCTTGGAAGACTGAAAAATTCAGCAGCATTCTCCCAGCTGACATCGTCCACCAGATCACGGCTCTGGCGGTCGACCCCCTTACACCGGACGATGACACGCTATTTTGGAAAGCCTCTTCAGACGGTCGTTTCTCCACCAAGAGCGCCTATCAAATGATGTGCTCTACTGGCAGCTCTAACCAGCCCCGAATTTGGAGTCACATTTGGAAGCTGCAAGTTCCGGAACGAGTCAGATGCTTTGCGTGGCTGGTCGCTCACAACAGGATAAGCTGTAACGAACAGAGGGTCAAACGACATCTTTCCTCCTCACCTTTCTGCTACAGATGCCCGCTGCAGGTTGAGACTCCCCTTCACGCTCTCAGGGACTGCCCCCCGGCAGCTTTTACTTGGTCTCGCCTTGTTCCAGCCGAGCGACAGCTCAGTTTCTTCAGTAACAGTCTTGAGCAGTGGTTGTCCTCCAACCTGAAAGAGGAGGACAAGCTCGGGGGTGATATTCCGTGGAATGCATACTTCAGCATTGGTCTGTGGAACTTGTGGAAAAACAGGAACGATGGAGCTTTTAATGGGATCGAGAAGACGCTCTCGCCTCCTTCTCTTCTACAAGCCACCAAGATTAAAGCAGACTTATGGTATAAGGCTTGGTCAGCCCCCAGAAGAGTTTTGGGACGAAGGCCGGTCTCATTGCAGAGAACTCCCACTGAAATTGGCTGGTCTCCTCCGCCGGCGGGTTGGGATAAGATGAACGTTGATGGCGCGGCTAATGGGAGGCAGGGACCTGCTGGGGCAGGCGGCATCTTGAGAAACTCAGAAGGCAGGTGGATCGGTGGTTTCGTGTGCAGCTTGGGGTCGTGTTCGGCAATCTTGGCTGAGCTTTGGGGTATATATCACGGGCTGGGCGTGGCTTGGCAGCAGGGAAGTAGAGCTCTCATCCTCGAGACCGACTCCCAAATGGCTCTGCAACTCATTGACAAGAGAACTGATCCTCTTCATCCGCATTCTACTCTTCTTGGCGCTATCAGACGCAGGATTGCCCGAGACTGGGTGGTTAAGTTAGCTCATACTTATCGGGAAGGGAATAGAGCTGCGGACTGGCTCTCGAAGCACAGTCTCGTCTACTCCTACGGTAAGCTTGAACTAACGACACCACCCCAAGGGATCCAACACATCATCAGAGACGATTGTAGAGGAACAACTTTTACTAGGAGTATTGTAACTGCTTCCCACACTCACCTCGCCCTGTAATCTCCTCCCCTCCTCCCTCTGTTTCAGTTTCTTTGGCTTTTGCCTCCCTGTAACCCAAAAAAAAAAAAATAAAGTAATGAAATAGTAACGGACTAACATACATGGTACTTATTAATTAAAGTAGATAACTCCCGTTTCGTGGGTTAGGAACTAACTACGAGAGTCGAGAGTTATGCATTGGATGATTAATCTGGCGAAATTATGTCGACAAAGCCTATAAATATTTAACGCTCAGACTCTTCCCTTTTTCTGCCTTTTAATACAATTGCCATTAAAAAAAAAAAAAGCCTATAAATATTAAAGCGTACTATAATCACTGTCCACAGCACCAACCAACTATATCAGGAATGGAAAATGTTATTAGTGTCCTCATCGTACTAACAATTTTTACCGCTATACTGTGTGTGACTTCAGGTGATGGCGGCGGCGACATGCGTCAGTCTGTCTACATCCAAAACCAAATGAGCAGCCATCAGGCGAACACGCTGTTGGTACATTGTCGATCAAAGGATGACGATCTGGGAATTCATTATCTCAAGTTCAATAGCAGTTACAAGTGGAAATTCACCCCAATTCCATGGACGACGCTCTTCTGGTGCTATTTGGCCCCGTCCGTCGGTGCTCGCCATGTTTCTTTTGAAGCTTATAACCAGAGAATGGGTGATCAAGGGATGGGTTATCCTACTGATTGGATAGTTAGAGAAGATGGAGTTTATCGAAGGCGTCTTTATCTAAGTGCACGTGTCCGTGATGTTTTGGTTCACCGTTGGCAATCAGGAAGGTGATGGATGAATTAATCGATTTTATGCTACCACAATTTGAAATTAAACCTGTTATGATCCTACAAATTTTGATAGGGAGGGAGATCATATAAAGAGAAATATGAGCACTTCATAATTCTAGATCTCCAGCATCTCCCACCCTATAATCATCATCGTCCATGTCCTCAAAGTCGTTTTCTCTACCAATCTCGTCGTCAATGTGTTACCAGATCGGGCATTCCATCGCATTTCATAGATTACTGGGCTTGCATATCTTTTAATATATATATAATTATTAGTTCGTATCAAGGTTCGAAAAGGCGCTAGGCGTAAGGCGAGCGTTGAGTCTTTGCCTAGCGCCTAGCTCGCTTAGGCTAGACTAAGCGTGCCTAGCCATTGGAAGAAAAATAGCTATATGCACAACATGATGAATGAAATAATAATCTACAACACTTTCTCACTTCAACTAAAACACTGAATGTCAAGAACATAGCTCACGAATTCATAGAATCATAGCTCAATAGCTCACAAAGTTCTTAAGATATTAAAAATATTGATATAAAAAACTGATTTCGTGGTTGATGTTAATTTTTTCCTTTGATATTGACTTTCTAGCTCCATCTGGTAATGGTTATGAGAGACTTTTATGTTGCCTTACTCCATTGACGTGTCTTAGTATCTAATTAGGCCAAAACCCCTAGGCGAGGCGTTTTGCCATTGTCTTGCGCCTAGGCGTGTCTAAGCGTAAGGTTAAGCGTGCATTTTTGAAACATGGTTTGTATTAAGATATTACTTGATGATTTTTTGTATTAATTATTAATGTTTACTTGTTTAAGTAGGATTGAGATTTTTATTATTCGCATGTGTTTAGGATTTAGCTATTGTTTGCTTGTGGGATATGTTTCATATTTTGGGTAGAAATGGGGAAAAGGATCGCCGATCCAGTAGGAAAAGAAGAAGGGGTTTTCAGGAATTCCTAGCCTATAAACATGTTATCATTCTCTCGTGCGTTAATGACATTGAACATTAGAAGCCAAATATTTAGTTTTGGTTCTTTGTTCACTATTTCCTTTGATATTTCCTTTGAGAATTTTTGGTTAGTCTTTTATTAGAGTGACTATTAATGCAAATAAAAATTTTTAAGTGACAAAAGTTAAACAAATTTGTAAACTCAGAGACCAATTATACTATTTACCCGAGTTAAATTATATATTGGTAATGTGATGACTAGAGACCGAGTCAACAAGTCGAGCAGTACAGTACAGATATAGTTACAGAGAGGAGTCTAATTAGTTTAATATTTGATTAAAAAAAGGACAACTACAACGGTGTGGCAACGATCATCCTGCATTAAGCTTTGGATGAATTCACGTTTCCTATTGCCAGGGGAATTGCAGCCATTCTACCCATTGATTGCGGTCATTCTTCATTTTAGAATAGACTCCATCATCTTTGACAATCCAATAACTATGATATCTATACTCTCTACGAATTTGGGCAAGGCTATTTCTGTAAGCATCAAAATCAACATGACGACCATTTTGGTTGGATGGTTTCAAATGGCACCAAAACAACGTCATCTTCATGAAAGCGCTGTGAAAATGCCATTGAAATTCGTTGTTTACTGCAATATAATGAACACCGAGATCGTCGTCCGCTGATTTGCAGTGGACTAGTAACTTCGCCCGAGGATCACTCAAGTGGTTTTCGACATGGACATAATGACTTGGCCCGATCCCAGCAGCTGAACTATGGGGAAGCAGAACTAAAATAGCAATCACGAACATGGAGATCACGGAACCATTAGTAGTAGTAGTAGTATCCATTACTAATTTTTACCTTTTACTCTATCGTCTTGTCTTTTGAGTCTTCATATACGATCGATGATATATATATACTCTTCACATTGTTGCAAGATCTTCTCCCATATTAGTTTAATTAATTAATTAATTACCAAATAAAACACCCTAAGGAAAATGAAAGTACATATATTGATTCCAATTTTTACCGGATGCTCATAAATTGGTACGTTGGACCTAACGGTAATAAATACCACCTGTTACAATTGATTTTACATTTATTAAAAAAATAGACGTGTATTGCGTTTCCATGAAGATCTATATCCCTTGTTTGTGTGGGCTAAGTTTACTGCTACTACTATGTTTGGGCTGAAAGGGCCTTTGAATCCAGCAATTTGTAGCTTTAACTGCAAAAAATCCCGATATCCTTTTTGTCACTAAATCACTAAGATGAATGTCATAATCAAGCATGCATGAAGGGGGTTTAGAATTTCGTGACTTTGAGAGCTTTAATCAAGCATTGTTACCCATAAAATTTCATAAACTATTTAGCTATTGCTTACACAGTTACACTCATCACCATCGTACACACACTCTTAGGTTTTTTTTATTTAGTTCTTGCTCTCTCAGTAGCTCAAAGCCTCAAACTCATTTGCTTAAGGAGAAGAGAAACCCACTCATCATCTTCTCCGCAGAACAGTGTTGACAAAACCCGAAGTCCCGTTATTCGGAGCCCCGGAAATCCCCAGAATCGAAGTAACCACATTGTAAAGCTCCACATTCTCAAACGAAGGCACCACCACTCCCTTCCCGAACTTCGGTCCCCTCCCGACAAAAATCGTCCTCATCGAAAACGCCGCGTTATCATACCCATGGGAACCCCAACACATCTCCTCCCCGGCCACCCGCCGCTGCTCCACCGTGTAACCCTCCGCCACAATCCCAATGATGGGCGTGATCCTGTCGCTGTCGGAGTAGTGCAGCCTCGCCGGCAGGTTCTCCTTCAGGTACACCTTCAAGCTGCCGCCGTTGTTCAGCTTCCCCGACTCCAGCGCTTCCGTCATCTTGGAGACCACCTCGGCGGCGTCGACGCCGGCCGGAGGGCGGATGGAGAGGACCGGAGTGTGGTACATGATCCATTCTTCCGGGATATCGATCCATTCCGCGAAATCCTCGATGTAGATGTACTTCTTGTCGCACGTGCCGACCATGCCGTGGTCGCCTACGAAGATCACCGTTACTTCGTCTAATAGGGCCCTTTGTTCCAGCCCGGTGATTAGCCTGCCCAGTAGCGAGTCCACTCGGCCCACTGCTGCGGTTATTTGTGGATCGTCGGGCCCAACCTGAAACAGGATTTTCCGTTAGCATTCATAGAATATCAAGCCAGAAAGTCTTCTTTTCAATTTATTTCTCTATGATATAAAATAAATTATTTCTTGATGTTGATTGCTATAATAAATCCAATAACATTTTCTTTTAATTCCTTACTGTTACACTCTTAATCTTTCAGAGTATCAGACTCATAGTTTGATTCCAACAAAAAGAGTATCAGACTCATATTCCAAACCATCCAAAATCATTTGTTATATGATTTGGAAAACTAGGAATGGTTTGGGAAATGGGTTACTCAAGATGAAAATTGTTGACTATCAAAATTGACCATCACTTTAGACATTGGACCGATACTATCCATTATTTTGAAATTTTAATTATTTTTATCTTTGAAAAATAATGGAGCTCAAATAACCATCAGAGGTCGTTTGGAGAACATGATGAATTCACTCAATCCGTAAATTTTATAAAAATTTATGTTTTTCTGGTTGGTTTTAATATTTGGAAAATGAATATTTCATGGCGAAAATGGTTTACAATTATAATTAACTATCTATTGAAAAATTGGATGGATATTATCCATTACAATATCATCTATTTTAAAATTGTTGAACAAAAGTTGGAGCCAAATAGCGATTGATTATTTTAAATACGACAAAATGTGCATCGTTCATGGATCATGACTCATCACCTATCACTACACTAATCTACTTTTTTTTTATTCTTCAGTTTTAAAATAATATTCTTGCCTCAACTTGCAATTTCCTTTTTTCCAACTTTGACCATTGTCCAAACACACTGTTTCTCCTCTGCTCTCAAGCAAAAGAACCACTTCTCCTCAGTTCTTCGTCTACAGACTACACAAGTACGTGAAAAGAAATTAACAAAATGATTGTAATGTGTATTACCTGGTGACCCTGTGCGTCAGGAGATTCAATGTAGAGATTCATGAGAACAGGGATTTCCTCGAGCGGCAAATCGAAGTTGCTAAGCAAGGTATCAATTCGCTCCTCCAATGGCACGGAGCTGTTGTACTTGGGGCAGAATTCGGGAGGACAAGTCCAGCTCCCTTTCACCACTTCAGCTCCAGCCCAGTAATACGCAGCAGCCGGCAAGCCGTGGTTGGCCACCGTCTCCCACAGCGGCTCTCCCAGCCAGAACTTGGGGTCGTGGCTCGCCAGAGTGAACTCGTCGCCGGTGGCCGGGTCGACGAAGTAGTTGTTTATGATGCCGTGGTAAGCAGGGTAGAGCCCCGTGACGATGGAGTAATGGTTGGGGAAAGTGAGGGTCGGGTAGACCGGGATCAAACCCCGGTCGGCCGACGTTCCCTCGGCCATGAGCCGGTCGATGCTCGGGGTTGCCGTCTTGAACTGGTACCCGAACCGGAACCCATCAGCGGAGATCATGATCACGACCGGGCGGGGGAGTTTCGGCTTGGGCCGGCTGGCTCGTTCAAGGGAAGACAGTTTCTGGGCCGTGGGAGAAGAGGAAGAGGAGAAGTAGAGGAAGCCGAAAGCAGAGGCGGCGGAAAGGCCGACGCAGCTGAGGGCAATAAGTGCTGTGAAGATGAATGGGTTGGTGCCCGGGTGTGTTCTGGCATTGCGGCGGGTGTCGTGGTTCGAATCGTCGTCCGAGAGAAGAGATGTGGTCTGGTTTGGCGCCATGGTGGAAGAGAAGAGCAGAGACTTTTGGGATGAGAAGGTAAGGAGCTTGGAGTGATGTATTAATAATGGCACCCAAGTTGAAGGAATGAAACTAGTTTAGTGTTAAAATCATTTGAATATAGGACAAGAGGGGGGTTGGTGGGATGGGGCGCCAAGTTGATTGAGAGAAGAGAAGATCATCATTTCAATGTGCTGCAAAGCTACAGCAGCCGGCTGCTACACGATTGTTTAATGTTTGTGTGCCATTAAAAAACTGCCAAGAGGTGTAAGGAATGCTTAGTTAATGGATCCCTGCTTGTTTTTTTGGCCTCCGGCCTTTTTCCTCTGTTTTTTTCAAGCTTTTTGTCGCACAACAAGTTGAGAGATCATTCTATTTGTTAAATATATCTTTATTATGGAATAACAGCTAGTGCAAGTAGTACATACCAGTTTCTACAGACGAGCTTGAACACAGAAGAAACAAACAAACAGACCACCTTGAGCCATAAGACTCTAGGGGATCAAAGTGGCTCCCAGTTCATTAAAAATGCCGCCTTGACATCATTTTCCTCCGCATTTCGCCTCTTTGCTAATAGAGCAGCTGTACATGAAGGATATTAAGGTTGTTTCAAATATGCAGTGTTAATTGTGGCACAACCTTAATTAATACAGCTGAAGTTCATGGTTCTAAGGAGAGACCTGGTTACTGGTTCTGGTTTGGTTTGTTTCTGGTAATGAAGATGCTGAGTTCATTCCAAGGTTGATCTTCAGGATACATACATGGTCTTGGGTGATGCTGTTGAGCTCTGGTTAGTGCTCCACCATCCCATTGAAAGTTGTTCAGCTCCGACTCTCCTAACTTTAACTTTCCCTCCTCACATAATACAGTTGCAGAATCTGTGCCCGGGGTGATTTAGGAAATCCAGAGTACGTTGTTTGATAATCCAAAGAAAAAAGACCAGACAGTAACAGCAAAACCAGCCACAAAGCCAAGTGATGTGATGACGGAGAACCATAGAAAATCATCGTCTTCATCTCCATTTCCAGAACCAGGCACAGCTTTGCGTACACTACAACCATTGTTCAATGGAGGGCCACAGAGGTATCGGTTCCCTATGAAGCTCCAAGAATCAAAGCTCTGCAGTTGAGTGCTTGAAGGAATTTTACCACTCAAGTTGTTGTAGGACAAGTTCAAGTAACACAGGAAAGTCAGACTTGCCAGTCCAGGAGGGACTACTCCGGATAGCTGGTTCACAGATAAGTCCAAAGATTCCAGTGATTCCATTTTATGTAACGCCTCTGGCATTCTACCTGAGAATAAATTATGTGACAAGTTCAGGTAGTGCAGTCCCTTTAGGTCCGTGATCTCCCCTGGTATTACTCCAAAAAAGTTGTTGCAAGAAAGGTCTACACTTCTTACATAATTCAGTATGGTACTGTAATCCACAAAGCTCCCTTTAGTCGATAAAATTTGATTTTCCCTGTACACTTCACCTCCTCCAATTCTTTTTACATATAATTAGTGGGTACGCTTTTTGCCCAAACCTTCTATGTACTGTTTCAATTCTTGGCGTTTAGTGAGCTCTAGGCTGAAAGAGTCTTCTTGCCTCTTTTCCCAATCCCTCGCACTGATGCTGAAAAGAAGACACCCTATCCATGTCCTGTCAAAACCAAAAGAAAAGAGATGACTTCCACTGTTCCACAAGTACCAATGAACTAACCCTACCTTTCACCTTACCTCTGAAAGTAAAAAAACTTCACCTTCCCTCTCCCTTCCCGACAATCCTTCTCCCATACACCTCCTTCTCAAGTCACATCCCTCAATTTTTCTCCCATAACTTCTCTTTTCACTCACCCAATTCCATTACAGGAATTATTCCATCCATACCAATCCGTTTTATCCTTCAGCTCTCTCTTTCGATTCCACCCACTGAGCCAAAAGTTGCAGTGGCAGCAAGAGTGGGAATCCACCATTTTTAGGGTTCACTTTGACTTCTCTGTTGGAGCTTCCCCTCCCTGCAAATATGAAAGTTGTGTTTTGGTAGTATGGCGAGCCTACACAATGGAGAAGACTGACGCAAGTGGAACGATGATGAGCATAAACTCTTCTTCGGTCGTCGGCGACCGGAAATAGCTGCAGGATCAGGCGGACGACAACATACCGACGGCAGAGAGAATTCTCCTACTGGTTCTGGTGGGATTGGGCGTGTCAGCTCTGGTACTGATGCTCAAGAACTCCCCCACCAACAGCTTTTGCAGAGGATGACTGAGAAGAGGTGATCTTCGTTGTTGATTCTATTTCGCGGAATAAGTTCGAATCGTTGATTTATGTGAATATGGAATCGGTGCCTTGCAATGGAACTTTCCTGCCAGAACCACGAAGGTTGGAGATGGAGGAAGGGACCTGACCGGAGAAGCGAGAGAGTACGAGGGTGCGAAGGGCGATTAAGCCGGCGGGTGATTGGGTAGCAGAGACAGAGGTTGAAAGGTGCTTTTTCTCTATTGATTTTCTCGATCTACTCGCTCACTAATTCATTTATCGCTAACATTCTCTAAGACTCAGTGTGTTTCGGTTAAACAAAATCACCAACCTTGCTGCTCCCTATGGGTTCCGAGAGCAGTGTCGGATCTCTATGTAGTTCAAACTTTCATAACCTTTTTATCGGGTTTAATGGATTTGTTCGCTTCGCCTCTCAACTCTGGACCTTTCAGCTTCCATATGAAACTAATTTATTTACCATCATTTGCTTTTACAGGTAAGGACCTGTAATACCTGCAATATAAGCATGATTTTATTGCTGCTAAATTCGAGAAACTTGATTCTCCTACACCTTCGGTACTTACCTGTTCCAGTCCATTCTACAGATCTTTGGAACTCTTCAAGTAGGTGCTGTTAATTCTAATATTGTACTTATTTTGACCAACGTTCTTGCCTATTCTGATTTGGTTTCGTGGTCCCAATGGTAAGGCATTGTGAGTTTCTCAAAAACTTGCTTTGTCGCTTTGTTTTATCAAGAGATGCTTTGACTATTAAATTGTCCACATATTTCATTCTTTTCATAGTATTGCAAACCAAAGCAAAGAGTCTGTGCCTGTTGTTAGATCGTAAAATTTGAAATGGATCTTCAAATAAGATCGTATATGAAGCAAGTTCTAAAATTATTAGCAAGCGGTTAAGGTTTAGTGCTTGATCTCTTTGGCATCTGTTGACAGGTTTACTTCTCTTTTACTTTTGAAGTCACTAGGTTATGTCTCTTTTGCTTCTATGTTTCTCTTGCTTCTACATTCTTATAATTGCTCAATATGTACATCATTATGAACCTTGCTGTGTTGTTTGATCTTCTTTAGGCAAAAGAAATACAGAGGTTTGCTGATAATATGGGGCAGCTTGGTAAAGAGGTGAGTTCATTAATAGAATTCCTTTTTCAAATATGCCAACCAATTTGTATACTCTGTTGGCTGCTTTAAGTTTCCAGTTAAGCTTCATGTTGTTTCAAGTCATTCAAATGTTTCTTGAGAATCGTTGGGATAAAATGGTTTGAAACACTAAGCATACTCTTCAATTGACGTACAATTGCTCAAAGTAGCTGGCTGTAGTTATTTCTATAATGGCATGGTTGTTTATTACTTCTTGGTTATGCTTCCTAATGAGTCTAGGATCTTTGCTATAGTATAGCCTTAACAATTTATGTAGTAATCCGCAAATTATAAATAGTATATGTATATTGCTTGCCTTTAACGTTGACATTCAGGTTGTCTGGCTATTAGATGTTGATGGCATTGACATTGATTAAGAACTATAGAATGAAACTGTCCCCTTACAAGCGTTGGAATTGTAGTTCGGTTAATTAAAGGAGGAGAACATTGTGTTCAATTCTGTTCATGTCCTTTCCCTTTTAGTTCTATTCCAATTCCAACCAGTTCTTCCGCACATTGAGTGCATACAGGTTGTCTTTAAAGCTTAACCTGTTATTACTTCTTCAAGGTTTTGACTTAAGTCTTAACCAGTCATGTCTAATATAAAGGTTTGAAAAGGAAGAGATATGGGTCTCAATCAGAATGATTTACTCGAGCTGAAAGTTCCTGTTGGCATTGGTCAGCAGGTTCTTAGTTTTTAGGTTTGAACAAATATTTAATTTGACTAGAATGTGACCTATTATTCTACTTCACGAAAGTGGATATTTACCTCTGCACAATGGTCTGTGAACCTCATGTTAGCATTTTAAATTTTGGATGGAAAACTAGAACACAATACTGCAAATTGGGAATGAACTGTTGTTATTATTTAAAATCCAGAGAACCATATATGTGTATTACTTCTTGATTGGGCAGAGTTATTGCTTATGCCTCTGTTTTTTTTTTCTTTTACCCTTCCACTTAATTTTATTATGGGGTTTAGCAAGCTGATAATAATATACTTTCATTACAGCTTGGTTTGCTCCCAACATTCCCGTCTTGATGTTATATGTATCCCCAAAAGAGAATTTTCCTGTATTCTTTGTTCTACTACTAATGCAACTCATTTGGTTGGATTCTACGAACTGTAGTCAACAAGGAAGAGCCGCTCTTGCCTTGCATGTAACTTGACATGCCGGTGAATGGAGGTGAAGTGGGGATCAAAGTGGAAAGGTGGAAAGGCGTGAGCCCTTGGAGGTGGAAAGTGAGTCGGATTCAAGGTGTAACAAAAATGGAGGACGATTTAGTGGGCTAAAACGAGAATTAGAGGCTTCGAGCTGAGATTGGAACGAGGAATGGTGACTATGAAGAGCTCAAGGACGAGTATGAGATGCTAGAGCTTGAACACAAGACGAAGAAGGCTGAAACTTTTTTTTTAAAGCTAAGAAGGCTTAAACCGTTGTCAAAATTGTCTTTTTTTTATATGAATCTCCAAACTGTCTTTCACTAAATGCACTTTTACTCAATTATGTTGGAAATTTACTGTTAATCTAAGCTTTTGATGGGTGATAGGATACAACATCCATAGTTTGGATCATAAACTGATTATATCAAGAAGTTTGGATTGACTCCTCTTTTTGTATTCTCCAAGATTTTGCAACAGAGGTGTTGTTAACTTCGATTGTTTGCTCAAGAGGAATGTCGCATTGTTATTGTAGGTTTTGTTGCAACAGACAAGCTCATTGTTGATGGAGTTGGATTAACTTTCTATGCAGCATTTTCACTTTACATGAATTAGGAGAAGAATCTTTGGCTTCCACTGACACCGCTAGAAATGCATGCCTCAGCTCTGTCATAGATAAGATGTTTACTGTGGAGAATGGTACTGGACAAGACACACAAATGTGGTCAATTCGGTATTTGAGGCCAGTGCCATCGTGGGATCTACTTGCCTTTGTCACCTAGATGTCTTAGACCCAAGGTTAAGGAAACCCTAACGTATAGGCCGATCAGACCGCAAATACTGGATACCGCACCCAAAACGGCAGACGGTTTTAACGTTAGGAAACGGTTCAACCACATTTTTTTTTTATAAGGGTGATAATATTAAATAAGAGGACGGGAACCAAAAAGCAAAGTTCGAAGTTCAGCAAAGCTGAACTTGGTACACGGTTCAACCACAGTTAAACCACGATTTTAGTACAATATACCCTACCACTCACTTTTTTAGTATAACCTCCGATACGGTTTAATTAACCTTGCTTAAACCATGTTTGTCCCTTTATGATGTCAATATTTTCGTATGTTGGGGCTATAATCCAAAAGCACGTTTTTCTTCAATTTTCAACATGTACAATGGTTATGTACACTCTGCATAGTACAACAACTATTTGTCTTCCAAAGACATGTAGAGTGATTGTTGATTAGTGTTTCTTGCAAATGCATATGTGAAGGTTGACTTATGTTGCTTAGGAGTGCAGCGTCTCACTGTCCAAATTTGCTTGCATACAAATTGATATGTACCTCTCTTTTCCCCTCTTCCCGCCTCTATTTATAGAAGTGCAAATTCATTATCGAAGTGTCAGCAGAGAGGTTAGTTACTTACTCATGAACTTTGTGGCATTGATTATTTGGCTTGCAAGTAGTAATGACAATGTGGCGGGCCAGGTCGGGTACCTCAATTGAAGATGTAAAATCTTTGGGCTCTGCATTTTTTTCCAGCGACCTATTCTTGCCCGCGCCTCTGTGGTTTCATTGCATTGCCTGGTGGTGATGTTATTCTCAGAATAAAATTTTGGCGAAGCAAACTGTAGAATGAACACTGGAACATGCATGGGTCGGATATCGGGAATAAAGATACTATCAATGGAAATAACGAAAATGCGGGTTTGGATGTGCAGTTACAATCGAAAACAGTTGATGGTCTTGGCATGGGGATGATACTAATGCTTCTACCTCATGGCCAAATTGAATACATTATATAAGGTTCATCTATCTATTCATTATTCCAACTAAATAATCTTTTCTGGACTCCCCTGCTAATCAGCTTGGGCGTCGTGAAATTCTTCTTTCCATAGGTAACAATGGATCTTACAACCTCATCACATGTCACCTTCACATCTGACAACGAATACTAGAAGACGACAATAGGGTGAGCAGGACTGGTGGTGGTATTCCGATTGCCCGTAACACAATGAACCTCAATTTGATGTCACTTAACCCAACTACCACACGATCATGTTGCTGCAACTTTAGTTCCCGCGGCGTTGCGTAGCCGCGCCGCCGCGGGTATTGATTCTAGTAAAAATATAAATTACAGCAACATCATCACTATTATCTGAGGTAGCCATGGCACTAAAATTACCCAAACATGCTGGCAGGCTCCCTGAAAGTGAGTTGTGAGAAAGGTCCAAGATTTGTACAAACTGCAGATGGTAAAGCTCCACCGGCATGCTGCCATGAAACTTATTTGCACGCAAATTAAGAATAGACAATTTGGAAAGCCACTTCCCCATCCACCTTGGAATCTCTCCTACCAATTCATTATAGCCCAAGTCAACAGCGAGCAACTTAGAGCAGTTACCAAGAGACAAGGGAATGTCACCAGTCAGACTATTATTCTGTATGTGTAAAGACAAAAGTGAGGTTAAAGCTCCGATGGAGTTTGGAATTCTTCCTATAAACTTGTTGCTACTAAGTTTAAGAGCCTCCAAACTCTGCCAATTTTTCCAGCAGTCAGGTATCTCACCTGAAAAGAGATTACCTTGAAGATTCAGATACTGAGTAGTCCTTTTCTCAGAAGGATTGAAACACAAGAACTTGACCAAGTTTCCGGACAACAAATTGTTGGATAGGTCCAAGAAAGTAAGATTGGACGAAACAGTGGGCAGTGGACCTTCCAAGCAATTGGAGCTGAAATCAAAAAATGATTCGTAGCCGTCAATAAAGATGGCATCTGGAAGCCGCCCAAGGATTTGGTTGTGCGAGAAATTCAGATAATAGAATCGACACGACATGCTCCAGAACCAGTCAGGAATTGGTTCTGAAATTCCAGAGTTAAGACAGATCAAGAGAACTCAGATACTGCAGACCGTTGAGCCAATGAGGAAATCCAGGTCCAACATACCAGGACTCCAAGTTCAGCATTTGAATCAGCCTGGAAGGAACCCAATCTGGTTTAGCTTTGAACACCATATGATTTCCCGACGCAAAAAAGTAAGCCAACTTTGTGAGGTTGGCAAAGTGAATTTCAGGGAGAACAACACCATGCATTGCATTCTGAGAGATATCCACATAACTCAAACCTGCCAGCGCCCCAAAACTCGTTGGAAAACTTCCATTTATCTTGTTTCTTGAAAGGTCTACATGGTACAAAGATTTCATTTCTCCAAATGAAATCGGAAGTGGACCAGAAATAGAATTGTTCTGGAGCTTGAGAAGGTTAAGATTCTTGAACATGCCGATTCGATCAGTCAACTGACCATGCAGTTGGCAACTAGGCAGAGACAACTCCTGCAAAGTACCAGAAGCACATACTCCAAGGATTTCAAGTAACTCAGATACATTTTGATTTAGTTTTACATATCGCAGAGAAAGGGATCTCAACTGGCATAAGCTTTTGAATGAATCAGGAATTATCTTATATGTAAAAGTGGACTACGCTTTATTGCCCTACACTGTTTCATTATTTGTCGCCTAGCGGAAGGAGAAAAGAGAGCCCTTTGCTCCCCTCGCTGCATCTCTCTTCAGTTCCTTGCTGTCCCTTCAACCCCGGAAATCCGCTTCTCCGGCTCTGCTCTGGGACTCTGTCCTCTCACCCCATTCTCCGAATCTGCACTCCTCACCCCAAATCTCCAAATATGCACGCAACCTACTTCAGCACTCCAACATCCATAGCTTTCTCTGCCATTCTTCTTTCCCAACACCTAATCCCCCAATCCACCTCCGGAGCGGCATAACCTTTTACTCGAATGTGCTTTCCTTTCCTTATTCTATCTTCTCTGTCAATACTTCTACGCTTGAATCCCTAGCTAGCCGTAGCTCCACTAAGGTCTAGATGATGTAACCCCATCAAGGTTATTACAACAAGATCAGGTATTCTTTTCTTTCCTTTGTGCGGTTTAACCATAGTGCTTTGGCGGGGTTTCCTTTCCTTTGTCTGGGTTTGGTCGTTGAGGGATGGACAAATCGACAGCGCAAGATGATTCCTTTTTTCTAACAGATTTCCCCTTTCTCTTTTGGCCAGAGTTGATGGGACGGGGTTTCTGATCACTACTCTCCGCCCTGTGCGTCCGACTTCTGTATTTGATCATGTGCCATCTGAACTCAGAATTCCATTTTTGCCATGCCGCAAGTATTTGGTTATGCATTCAACGCATTCATGTTTTCTCTTCTCCTAGATGTAACATGTATGTGCTATCGGGCTTCAAAAATTAGAAGGTTTGTTGTCTATATACGGTTGGATTATGGTATTTAGTTCTAGGGTGGTTACTTGGTTTGAGAGTTTTTTAGTTTTATGGTTTGCATCTTCATAGTCAGAAACCTTTATTGCCTTTTGATCTATATTAAAATTTGTATGATTTGCCTGTTATGAGATTGCGAGCAGGGACTTTGTGATTGAAGTGATCTTCAAGTCTGTGCATAGGAGTTTGATGAGCTTTCATTCCTCCAGCATAAGAGTTTGTTACCCTATTTCAACTATTTACATTCACAACAACACATGAAGATGATTTTCATGCATTTCCATTAACAAGTGCGGGATATGTGCATTAGTGGACGAGTACAAGGATTAGTGATTACATACGTGACATCAGGTACTGAGCTGCTATATTTTTCCCCTTTCTGTTGTCTGCATGATTAGTGATTGCCTCTCTACGAATAGGCTTTGGCCACTGCATTATTTGTGAGTTTTTGGTAGCTGCTAAATGGACGTGCTTCTTCAGTACATCTGTTGATCATAATTCAGTATGGAAACTCTGTGTACATATCATTACATCTGCCTGCTTTGCTCATTGTTTAAATTGCAATAAGATGCATAGTAGGTCAATAGATAATTAGCACGTTCAGCAATAATGAAAAGGATTTACAATGCTATCCAGTAATTGGGAAAACTTAGGTAGGGGATACAAAATGCAAGGATAGAGAAGGGGAGACAAAGAACAGAAAGAAACTGGTGAGATCCAAAACAGAGTGGTAGCAACATACTACATTTTTTTCCTGTAATTTCCTTATTACTGGATTTCCTTTTTGCCTTTTAATTGTGTATTGTTTTGGGGTTGCTTATGTCAGTGGCTATGCACCGTTATGTGCTTGGTGTAGACTAAACAGTAACTACCTAGCAAAAAATAGACTCAACTTTAATTTAGCAGAAACCTAAGTCATTATGTGGGTAATCTAAAGAGGTAGAAGGGGAAGTATAATATCATACAATACTTTGGTAGTTGTGCTTACCTGCTTCTCTTGGACTAATTTGTATAGGTTTGCTATTGATTGCTCTATAGTAGTTGTTGGTCTGCGGCATAGAGCAACTTACCTCTAAGAACACCTTCAAGTTGAAAAATGGATGTTTTCCTCTCGCCCTTGACCAGCTCTTTTCCTTCCCCTCGATGCTTTCTTTATCGGGAATGTTGGTACGTCCTACACTTTCCAACACTTTGGTTATCCTTCCAATTGAATCGAATCATGTCACCCGCCACACTTATGAATCCAACCATGAATTTCACTATTTTGTCACAGCATCTCCTTGGTTGATGAAACTGTTTTGGAAGAGGCCAGCGAGTTTAGGCCTCCTCGGCCAGCGTAGATCATAGACATGAGGTTCGTTGACCGTTCTCATACTTCCCCTTCAAATGTGGTTGATTATTTCTGGAAAGCATAGTTAGTAAAATACGGTACGGGAATGTTACGTATAAAATACGTACGGGTATTTTACTTCGTCTGTATGCTAATGTTATGTTTAATAGTACGTTAAAATTTTCATAAATATAGAAAATTAATCATTTTAAAAATAAATAAATATATAAATAATAGTAAAGTTAGTAATTTAATTCATTAAATACGGATATTAAACGTGTTATCCGGGTTTTATACGTGTTTAATACGGGAGCCATCAAATGAACGGACAAAAATGAAACGGCTTGACAATAATATGGATACGGAAGTTTTAAACGAATAAAGTACGTACGGGTACATATACGTGTATTAAACGGAGTATTTACTAACTATGCTGGAAAGTGATGCTAAACTGTTAATTGCACTTGGTCAACTGCTAAGGTTTCCATTCACATTTTCAGTTTTTATTTATTTATGTTTAGTTGATTTGGCAGACTCAAATACTTAAGGTAGCACTATGAAGATATATTGTTGTAGATTTATGACAAGGCGTGCATTGTGCTAGGTAATGTGCACGATTTACAGGTGGAATTGGAAGGAATGGGTGGCGGTGGGAAGTTGGTGGTTGAGGGAAATTTTTGGTGAAAAACAATTGCAGTTGTTGAAAGTTCATTGTCCTAGACATCTTGATCGGTATTTCGCGACAATTTTGTCAGTAGAGATCTTTCCAACCTACTCTCTCTTTCACCTGCACATTATGTTTGGTTTCTGTAACAATACTCTTGAATTATCTGAATCATTATGCTCATGTAATAAGAATGTTGTGACCTGTATTTCTTTCCCAGGCCATGGAAAATGATGTTAAGTTTCTAATGTGATGCGACATTGTGCTTATGTCGTGCGAATGGCATGTCACCTATATGTCTTTCCTCGGACATGGAAAATTATTTGCTGACTGATTAGTCAACAACAAGTCTGCTTTCAATTTAGCTTTAACAATCGCATCCTCATATTGATTAATAGATGGAATGGTCACAAACATGACTCCACCTCCTTACATCAAAGAAAACTATAATAGTTTGACTGCTCATCCATTTATCATGACGTTGTAACTTAAGCCCCCGCGGCGTAGCAGCGGGTATTCTTTCTAGTCCCCCTTTCAAATTCAAGGCCATAATTGACTGACATATCAAGGTAAATAAGAGAAGACAAGTTTCCAATCTCAGTTGAGACTCTGCCATCCAATTTATTACTGTATAGATCGAGCTTCTCCAGATGATGCAAACCGTAAAGCCAGTTTGGCACCGAATGATTGAAATAATTGAAAGACAAGTCAAGGGTCCTTAGTGATGTAAGGTTTTGAAGTTGTGCAGGAATCGGGCCAGCGAATGTGTTGTAAGCTAGATTCAAGTAAGTAAGGTTCTTAAGATGAAAAACCCAACTTGGAACAAATGTCTGACCAAATTGATTGTGATACAAACTTAGAGCAGACAACGAAGCAGACAGGTTAACATTGGCGAGGGGCGGGATATGAAGAATTTGACAGTGTGATAGATACAATTCTGAAAGGGATGGCAGTGTGATTATCATGTCCAGCCAGTCAGAAGCATTACTAAGATCAACTTTACTAAAATCAAGGAATTCTAGTGAAGAGAGACCAGAAAGCCATGACAAACTATCAGCATACAGCACATAGTCGGCAGCAGCCTCGATACCAAGTTGCTGCAGCTTCGAGAGGTTCCCCAACTGATGAGGAATCAGTCCTCCAAACCCAGCTCCATCAAGGTAAAGGGTATTTAAACTAGTCATCAAACCAAGAAAGCTTGGAATTGGAATACCATGAAAGTCGTTGTAGGACAGATCCAAATAACCCAGATACTTCAATTCAAGCAAGGAAGGGTTGAGCTTACCACTAAGCACAGAATTATGCCAGGAAGAAGGTCGCGGCAACCCTAGATGGAGTTGGGTAACATGGCCAGTGTGATTGTCACAGACGACGCGAGACCATGTACAACAATCCCCTTGGCCAACCCAAGATGATAGCCAGCTACGAGGGTCTTCAAGATCAGCCTTGAACTTCAAAAGCGCTTCCCTTTCAGCTGCACTGCAGCCTGCACCAAGGGTTCCATCCCAGTGACCAACCATCCAGATCACTGAAACTAAAAGTACCGTAAGAACAGTACTCATCAACGACCTCATGGTGATTAGTTACTCAATTAAAATGAAATGCACACAAGAGTATTTTTATGGAATACACAACGTTTGTCTCACATTTTCTCTTCATATCAGCGGAAATGTGCAGCCTTCAACTGCACTGGATCAGGTTTATCGTCCGACTTGTGCGCCATCCATCTTTCCGGCAGATCCTGTGGTCATTGTATTGAACAAAAAAGAGAACGTTTCCCGGTCGCATAAAAACTCTTCAATCTGTCGTCCTCTGTTCTGTTGTTGGAGAATCCGCCGACTTATTCCAACGTCTTCTTGTTTTCTCCTCATTTCATTTGTATCACGCAAAAGAAATGTATAAGAAGTGCATCATCAGAGCAAGATAGCCCAAACACAAGACCACAAGGGCCAAATCTGAAATATCCGGCCCACGTCACTCGGGCGATTTGGATAAAGTTTGTGTCAAATCCTAGAATTGGGAAAATAAAGGATTGTTGATGCATGATTAGACATAATCCACAACAGAAAGATGGAATATTTGAAGTATAACAACCCGATGTTCAAAAACTAACAAAATAGCAGCATGGTCATCGAAATGACTAAACCAGCCAGAGCCACGTCTCTCTATTTCACTACATGGTAACTTCTCTATTGCATTCCAGATCCAAAATCAACTGGGCTCCTATCTTCAACTGCTCTTGCTTTCCTCTCCACTCTCCTGCTTCTTGTAGAGCTTCTGCAGAACTCGTTTGGCGTCACACTGGGGGAAGTTCTCAAGCTCAATAATAATGTAGTGCCATGTCCACAAGGCTGTAAGCTGAACGATTTCAAGCATCATTTGGTGTTGTAACTTGTATCATCAGTCTACCTTTATGGGGAAGGGAACATTGTTTCAGAAACACTCACTTCAAAACTGTTCTTGCACTGCTACAGTCTTCAAGCCAGATACTTTAACCCGACTTCTTCGCCAGTACTAACATACATCTCTTCAGCAACGAGTTAAGATATTGTAGGCCACTCTACGAGGCTGAGTATAGCCAACCATCATTTCGCGCCTCTTATTCGGAGTTTCTAACGCCATACAGCTTCCGAAACAAATTGTGGAATCTGCACAAGCAATCCTGTATTAGCTAGAGTCTCCTTTCTAAAATGTGTTAAATTCCCACCACTGAGAAATGCATCATCAAGTCTAAAGCTCTACCTAAATGTAGTTGATTCTCATGAAAATAAACAAAACCCAGTTCAACCACATATTAGTGAACAAGAAATACAAGGAAAAAAGAAGAGAAGACCAACCTGAGTAGTTTGTCCACTTCCGTTCTCACCAACAAGGATGAGAACCTAATACATCCTTAACACGTCCAAGAACTCATATTTTTTGGTGCCAAATAGGCAGAGCTTCTTGGTATCTCTGAAAATGCCTTCCCATTCCATGGCTTTGTAGAGCCACTAAAGCTTATTCCATGTGAGTTTAGCAGCAGATGTGTCGTCCCCCACGTCAAACAAGCTGACCTTTATCTTCCTCCGCACCCATGTGAGAAGCCACTTTAAAAATTAAAACCATCTACATAAATTTTGGTAGTCTGGAATACCACTGTAGAATAGTTGATCTTGGAGAATTGCCTCTGTAGTATGAAATAGCAACATCTTTGACTAGGCCATGTTCAACTGCATCTCCGAGAGCATCTATATATCCTGAAATTCAACCTGAAATGAACTGAGCTTCTTCTACACTCTTATTTTCCAGGATTTTAAGAAAGACAATTTAGTTATTACTAAAGCCGAAGTCAATGAGGATAGTACTGTAAAAAAAACTAAAAGCTCGGGCTCGAGGACGGAGTTATGCGATAGTCAATAATTTTCTATGAGGAACTACTGAACTCAATCACTTGCTGCCGTTACTCTTCGCCTTTTGTTTTTCTTCTTTTTAGTGGAGCAGCAATCTCAATACCTTCATTTCCCCACTCTCCATGCCTTGAACGATACTGACAGAAGAAACTGCATTGGAGAAGCGATCGCCAATAGAAACCTCTAACCAGACATAAACTTGAAGGAAACTGCACACCATAGGAGCTGATACAGTTCAACCAAGGGCAGTCCAAGAGAGCTTCGGAAATCCTTGAGGGCACATAGGACACTATGACATCCCATCCTCCATGGCAACGCGGCAAACTCGGTGGCAATGCCACTTCCACTTCTGGTTTTGATATTTTCCTTTCACTGATGAATCTGTAGAAAATTGAACTTTGGAAGTTGAAGCATAAGCCAGGAAAGAAAATTGAATCTACATACAAACAAAGAAAATTGATTTTTGGAAGTTGAAGCATACACCACAAAATAAAAGCATGCCACATTGTAATTAGTTATGTTTCAGGACAAGTACCTCCTGAGCAGAGTTTCAGAACTGATGGCATCAAATGATAACTGGAAGAGAAAGGGGATGATAGGCAAAAGTCATTAGTAACTCGCAATGTTCATCCCAGAAAGAAACAAAAGCAAAACCAGAAGCCTAGTCTCACCTTAAGCCATATACTTCAGCTGTATTTAAGAAGGTTATGCCACAATAACCGCAAGCATTTAGAGCAGCCTTTGTATCCTTCCATCGCAATATTTGTACATCATCACAAAACGAAATTTTTAATGCACACCCAAGAAACGAACATGTGAACACACAAAGAGTTCAAAATGAAACAAAGAGGATCATCATTTTTGCAGTTCCCAATAGTTCAAACAGGCAGCCACTGAGAGAAAATAAGACGGAAAACTTGTTGGTTGCATTCAAAATTGTTCCAATAGCTGGTCACCCCAAGATAAATCTCCAATTCCAAGCTTTGTAACCTTCCACCTCAACCCTCCCGACATTAACTAGTCCTCCACACATAATACCGTTGCAGAATTATGCACTCCAGGTTATTAAGGAATTCTGAAGTACGTTTCTTCTCAGTTGATAACGCAAAGAAAAAAGACCAGGCTGCAACAGCAAAACCAGCCACAAAGCCAAGGGATGTGCTGATGGAGAACCATAGAAATTCATCCTCTTCATCTCCATTTCCAGAACCAGGCACAGCTCTGCTCACACTACAAGTCTTGTTCAATGGAGGGCCACAGAGTTCTTGGTTCCCTATGAAGCTCCAAGAATCAAAACTCTGCAGCTGAGTGCTTGAAGGAATTTTCCCTCTCAAGTTGTTGTAGGACAAGTTCAAGAAACTCAGGAATGTCAGACTTGCAAGTCCAGGAGGGATTACTCCTGATAGTTGGTTCACGGACAAGTCCATGGATTCCAGTGATCCCATTGTCTGTAAACCCTCTGGCATTTTGCCTGAGAAGAAATTATGTGACAAGTTAAGGTAATGCAGTTCCTTTAGGTCTCTGATCTCCCCTGGTATCACTCCAGATAAGTTGTTGCAGGAAAGGTCTACACTTCTTACATAGTTCAGTATGGTACTGTAATCCACAAAGCTCCCTTTAGTCAATAAATTTTGATTTTCCCTGAAAACTTCACCTCCTCCAAAAAAAATATAAATTACAGCAGCTGCATCAGTATCATCTGAGGTAGCCATGGCACTGAAATTAGCCAAACATTCTGGCAGGCTCCCTGAAAGTGAGTTGTGAGAAAGGTCCAAGATTTGTAGCAACTGCAGATGGCAAAGCTCCACCGGCATGCTGCCATGAAAGTTATTAGCACGCAAATTAAGAATAGACAGTCTGGAAAGCCTTTTCCCCATCCACCTTGGAATCCCTCCTTCCAATCCATTATAACCCAAGTCAATAGTGCGCAAATTAGAGCAGTTACCCAGGGACAATGGAATCTCACCAGTCAGGCTGTTGTTCTGAATGTGTAAGGACACAAGTGAAGTCAAAGTTCCGATGGAGTTTGGAATGCTTCCTATGAAATTATTGCTACCAAGTCTCAGGACCTCCAAACTCCGCCAATTTTTCCAGCAGCCAGGTATCTCACCAGACAAAAGATTACCTCGAAGATTCAGATACTGAGTAGTCCTCATCTCTGTAGGATTGAAACACAAGAACTTGACCAAGTTTCCGGAAAACAAGTTGTTGGACAGGTCCAACAAAGTAAGATTAGACGAAACAGTGGGCAGTGGACCTTCCAAGCAATTGGAGCTGAAATCAAACAATGAGTCATTGTAAACAACAAAGATGGCATCTGGAAGCCGCCCAGGGATTTGGTTGTGCGAGAAATTCAGATAATGGAATTGAGACGACATGCTCCAGAACCAGTCAGGAATTTGTTCTGAAATTCCAGATATAGACAGATCAAGAGACGTCAGATCTTGCAGACCTTTGAGCCAATGGGGAAATCTTGGTCCAACATACCAAGACTCTAACATCAATCTTTGAATTCGCCTGGGAGGAACCCAATCTGGATTAGCTTTGAACGCCATTTGATTTCCAGAAGCAAGAAAGAAGGTCAACTTTGTGAGGTTGGCTAAGTGAATTTCAGGAAGTACAACACCATGCATTGCGTTCTGAGAGATATCCACATAGGCCAACCCTGTCAGAGACCCAAAATTTGTTGGAAAGCTCCCATTTATCTTGTTTCTTGAAAGGTCTACATGATTCAAAGATGTCATTTCTCCAAATGAAACCGGAAGTGGACCAGAAATAGAATTGTTATGGAGAATGAGACGGTTAAGTCTCTTGAACAAGCCAATCTGATCGGTCAACTGACCATGTAGTTGGCAACTGCCCAGAGTCAAATCCTGCAAAGTATCAGAAGCACATACTCCAAGAATTTCAAGCAACTCTGATACATTTTGATTCAGTTTTACATGTCGCAGTAAAAGTGACCTCAAGCGGCACAAGCATTTGAATGATTCAGGAATCCCCCTTTCAAATTCGAGGCCATAATTGACTGACATGTCAAGGTGAACAAGAGAAGACAAGTTTCCAATTCCTGTTGAGACTCTACCACCCAATTTATTACCGTATAGATCAAGGTACTCCAGATGATGTAAACAGTATAGCCAGTTTGGAGAGGGAGACGATGAACCGGCCGGCGGGGGATCCCACTTGGCGCACTCGCGGAGGAATCCGCCGGAGCCGTGGTAGTGGAAGACGTGGGTGGAGGGTGAGGAAAGCTCGAGGGAGATGGTGTAGTCGACGGAGATTAGGTAAAGGAGGGCGGATTTGAGTGAGCAGACGGCGGTGATGGCCATCGGAGGAAGGAAGAGAGGCGAGGGAGGAGTTGGACAGTCGTTGGGCCAGGGGCGAAGCCAGGATTCCTATTCCGGGGGGGCCAAAAATTGAAAAACTGCACCTAAGCCAGTATTTTCATGTGGGTGGCCAAAATTTGAATAATTGCACATTCTTTTGCTTTGATAGATAGATTCGTCATTCGTAAAATCATATTCAAGATAAATGTTTCGAATATTTTTTGTCTATTGAATCAAGAGATTTCACGTTTTGTAGCTAAATTTTATTATTTTCATTCAAAATGCACATTTACAAAGATAAATAATTATTGAATGAATCAAAACAAGATATTATCTACTAATACAAGCAATAAATAACTAAATACTAAAGGAAGTAAAATTCAAAATCACTCAACAGAAAGGGTACTAGGAAATTATAAATAATAAAAATCAAATAAAAATGCAGAAATAATAAAAATCAAATAAAATGCAGAAACTGCGTACATAGGGAATCGAACCTGCGTTCTAATCCTCCCAAATCAAGCATTCTTCCACTAGTCTACAATACAACTTTGCAATACCAATCGCTACTTGACTCAATTTATAATTCCCGGGGGGGCCATGGCCCCCCCGGCCGCCAAGCTAGCTTCGCCCCTGCGTTGGGCGGGTTGGGTATTGGAACCGGAAAGTGGGACATGGACAAAAGTTGGTGGGCCTATGTGTTCCCATCTAGTTGTGTTTCGATTTGGACTGTAAAATTGTGGATCCATGGCTTTTGTGTTTCATTTTCATAGCAAATTAGCAATTCATAATTCCATATGGAACTGGACAGGCTTGCAAATCATGGGGCCAAATAAAATTTGCAATAGCTTACCATACAAGATAGGGTAACAGAGTTCTGCAATACCTTACCAAAAAGAACCAAACTTTACACAAATCTTCATCTCAAAATGTATGGATACGGAAACAGAGTTTTTCCACACTACACCGTTCCAAACATGCTATATTAATCAAACCCTAGATTCTAACATTTTGCAAAAATTTGAAGACTCATAACTTCTCCACAGTGCGACTTCCGATGGTACTGCTTCGTCAGAACTCTGTTGAATCTCGTCTCAAGATGAGGTAGATGGCTTGCTGTCCTTATAGCCTCCGAATCTCTTCGAAACAGCTGCATCTGATTCTGTGTTCCATATCTGCAACATTTCGAGCACAATACACATTCAATCTTCATGTACGAAAATAACTTTCACAACACTGCATTGAAGCGAATGATTGAAATGTATGCTTGAAGTACACTTACTTCCAGGGTTCCCTTTGATCCTCCAATAGCTAGAATAAATGGACTGTCGTCTGAGAAGACGATCGAGAATACGGCCCCCTGGATATAATAATCACATTTCAATGTTGTCACCAGCACAAGTTAAGATCACTTTTAAATTATTTATATAGTAGATGGCATTGATGTCCGGTAAGGGTGACATTCAATCTGTGGTTTGGTGAAAGGTGACATACCGCTTTTGGGTTCTTTGATGCAACACATGAAGGTTGGTTGTTTGATAAATCCCAGATTTTAACCTGTAGCGACATACATGGAATTGGATGGACAATTAGGTCTACGAAACAAGTCTTAGTGCACAACTTTAATGAAAGAGATAAGGATGATGGCAAAGTTACCGTTTTATCCATTGATCCAGTTGCAATAAGCTGCAGGCAGTCACAGGCAAGTCAGTGTATACACTTTAGAAAGAAAACACTCTGAACAAATGAATGAATGGAAATCTAGCTTACATTAGGAATCGAGGGGTTATAGATAACTGCGCTAACAGCTTTGTCATGTGCATGGATTGTGTAACTTGGCTTTAGATCAGAAGCTTCACCAGACTTGGCTGTGCGGATATCAAAACCTTGGACTGTACCATTTTCAAGGCTCGCCTGAAAAATGATATTTTCCCCCACTTTAATGGCCAACCTAAAAAGGGAACTCAGCAATTCGAGAAACAAACTTGCCTATAACACTCACCACAAAGGAGTGACTACTGTGTGGATCCCATGCCAAGCTTTCCACATCAGCTGCAACTGACCACCTAAAACCTGGGTGTGTAGGTATCCTAGCATCTTTCTGCAGTATGCAACAGTCATAAACATGTCATCGTGTAGCTCATTGCTAGAGTCTTGGCCATGCATCGTTCATTTTTGGGACATGCCTTAACTTATGCATCACTAATACCAAGAATCTTAAAGTGCACAGGGTATTTATATACCATCACAATTGAGTGATCAAAAGATCCACTGAGAAGAACTTGTGCCTCATGATGATTCCATGCAACTGATTGGACCTGTAGGGACAGAAAGATTGTAGTCCAAAACCCAGAGAAGCTTGAAGCAGGTTTATACTAATCAATAATACATCATCCTTCACGCATGGCAGCATAATTCTTGAAAGAAAACATTCTTGCCTTGTCTGTATGATGCTCTGATGTAATATTACATTGTTGAGTAGTAATATCCCAGATTTTAACTTGTCTGTCAGAACTGGCACTGGCAAGGATATTCCTGTAGATTTTTTGGTAGACCTGGTTAAGCTAAACGAGGATAAATTGATGATAAATTTCAAGGAAGCGAGGATGAAGGCCACCAAAGAATATATTCAACAAACCTATACTGCTTGTTCCAAGCGAGTCCTAGTACAGAGTCAGTGTGACTTCCTTCTTTGTATTGAATTGGGGCCTGAAAATTTGTAAGAATGATACCAGATGAAGAAAAACGAATTCCGGGAACTCTTGCACTGGTGGTACAAATATGCCGTGTCTTAAACACGAGATGACCAGACCGAGGATCAACCTCAAGTATATCAGGTTAACTGCGGTCCAATGCCCTTTTAAAGGAGAAGATAAGAGATAGCTGATCAAACAGAAAGCTTTCAGAGCTAGGCCAACATGGGAAAATTTATAACAAAGTTTAGTTTAGTCAAGGTGAGACAATAGTCCTTAGTCTTTCATTACATGTTTACGCACCTTCTTCTTACTTTTCTTCTTGTTTTTCTTCTTCTTCTGAACCTCAACAACACCTCCTAACACTGCAGATGGCTCTACTTGCTCAATCTGGAGATAAAAAAAAGTGTCAGAGATTCACAACAATCTGTTTATCAGAAAGACAAAATGAACGCATTTTCAGAGCTTTAACATCCATCTATCACGTACAATGTCAAGATCCCATATTTCAATAGCTGGTTCCATTGAACCGACAGCAATAAAATTTCCTGCAAAGAGAGTAATTCCCCAGTCAATTAGCAGGATAGAAAAGAAACAATAAAAAAAAAAAAAACAAAGGCTAAGCAATGGAGTAATATCAAACACTGGATACACAAGCCCTACCCTTTTCCCCTCCTTTAAGTGGACAATCAAGCCATGCTGTGCAAAGGGGGAATGCTGCCACAATAATATCATGGTGAGGGAAGATATTTAGATTACCATCACCAGAGTCCTCACATACCAAAACCTGGTCACACACAACATCAGTGATTGTCAGAGTGGTGGGGGGGGGGGGGGGGGGGGGGGATCGGGGAGAGTTGTTGAATTCAACATTACTTGCCTCAAGCGAACATATGTCATCTTCATTCCGTGCGCAAACTATGACTGAATCTTTTGGCTGAATAATAAGATTCTCCTCTTCATCAGAGTCATCGACCTTAGGAATGCACATATACAAAAACAATTCATCGTACGAAATGCAGTCAAAATGCAATGCGAGCAAATTCGCACCACAAAAGAAAGTATGAAAGTAGCAAAACCTACATCCACACCCTTGAGATAAGGATCCTGGTCATTACTAGGATAATAAACGTCTCCACGCCCAGAGCTGAAAAGCTCAATCTCTGCAGATTTCAAATGGTATATCAGCAATAACGAACGAGTATAGTATCAACTACAGCATCTTCCTAGCCATTGAAATAGGAAGCAAAAAAGGTTGCTTGGAAAAGCCATACTAACCTTCATCTTCGTCGTCATCATAATTGTCCATGTCAAGTTCCTTCAACCCATCAGCTATATGATCAACTCGGGAAGATGACTTGTTGGTTTTCGATTTTGCACCAAGTGCTTCTGCCACCGCTAGTGCTTGACTTGCTTCGTTAAATTCCATCTCAGCATCCACCTCCGTATCTCCATCCTCAGCCTCACTCCCACTTTCTTCTCTGCACAAACCAAATCGTCCCCCTCAACTTTGCCATGAATTCAAATTGAAGCAAGTAAATTGCACAAAACCCAACATGAAAGAATCAATGATTGGCTAAACCCCAAGGAAGAGGAAGGGTACAGGAAATTTACCCATCTTCCAAAGCACCGGACTTCAATAGCTCTTCAATCTCTTCTTTTGAAGGAAGCTCTGCCACCACTGGAACAGCCTTTGCCACTCCTTTCGGCAACCACGAAACAGCCACTATCATTTTCACGACCGGGAAGCTGACGGGAAAGAAGGTTGAGATCGGCGGCGGCTGCGTTAGCGGCAGGAATCGGTGCAGGGGACAACACAGTGGAAAATTACTTCCCGCGTCCAGCTAAAACCCTTAGATTTCTTCTCCTCGCCGCTTAATTTATACTTTTTCTTTGGGTCTCTGGTTGCAATAAACCGACAGCGTTTTTACCGCCCCTTCATTCTAGATGGGCTTGAGAAGAAAACCAGCCCAGTCCATTTGCTGCTTGTTCGGCCCAAGTAGAACTCCACCCAAAAACTTTTCGGAAAAGTAAATAAATAAAGAAAAACCAACGACATTCGCTGACCTTTATATATCCCTCTTGCCGGAGAAATGGAACGTATGTTGCCGCCATTTCCTCCGCT